ATCGCGTATGACGTCACGTCTCCATACTACTCCTCTACATACGTATTGTCAAGAAACCCAGTTTAGGATAGGACAAGTGACCTCAAATGTAAGCCAAGTGGCTAATGGAAGTAAATGTTAATCTGATAATTGCTTTTAAAATGCGATGCTAAACACGTAAGGGGCTCTCTTGTAATCGTTGACGTTGGTTAGCTCCCAGCATTTTCACACATCAATTTTAATTCCATGTAGGTCGAAAGTCAGCCAACCACTTTCACAGTGCTCTAATCCTCAGCTGTCCACATTGGTTTAATTATACACATTTTTGTAGAATGTATTTCACCATTTCTGTAGGTATAGAAGTTTGCACACAGACAGATGGGCATGCATTTTACTAATCTGTATAGCCAATTAACCCTAGAGGGTAAATAAAATAATAACCACTTCAACGGTGGTTGTACTATAGATAGACTGGTCCCACACCATAAGAATAAATAATTTCCACTGCTGGTTCTGAAACGCCAGCAGAAATAAGTACTTTGACTTTTGAATGTGAAAATGATGCTATCAGCAAAAAGATGTGACTGTTGTCACTGTGGCGATATCTATAATTCACATGTGATCATGAGTTGGTGGGGTATTCTAATGTGCTGCTGATACGTTTCTCTGATGTAAAACTTTATTTTAGGGATTCCCAGGTGTCAGCCAAGCACCACGGTAAATATAGATGTGTCGTTAAACCCGCCACCACCCGACACAGCCAATTACTAAGGTTTGTCACGTAAACAAAACATGCCAATTCGTTACTAGTCAAGCACACCTGTGTGTTGGAGAGTAAACCCGAAATTGTAAATGTTGTGGGTTTCCTCTCCAACACATCGGTGTGCTGTCCTAGTAATCAATTTGAATGTTTTATTTACGTGACAAACATTACTAATTGGCTGTGCCGGGTGGTGGCGGGTTTAACAATACATTTATATGCATGCGATCTAACCCATAAACCTCTATTATGGATAACATTGGTTGCGAAAGCCTACGTGTTAAACTGAGCCCATTGTCTAGATGCATTGGTTTTATCGGATGACCAAACGTGTGGGATCAAGGCTAATCGCAATATCCAGGACGCAGGGTGTATCCATTACATACCCCACATATGTCAAGCGGCATTTCTTTTCCCAAAACAAAGGGAGAAATACCAAACGCACAAAAAGTGAATAGATCCTCCTGAGCAAACCAACGTATGTTCAGGTCAGGTAACAAGATCCACACGGAGAAGTGAGTTACCTGAAACTACTGTGAATTATACATCGAATGATGATGCAGCTAACATGTGAGACAAACAAAAATTGATAGATTAAACCAATCAATCTATATATCTTCCAAGCAGGCTGTGTGGATAATGGGATGTGTTACAAACATACTTTAATGTTTTTTTTCTTATGTGGAGGGACAAATATGAGAATGAGAAATACTTTCTGCTTATTTTATTTTAGATTTCATACAAGGTTGGTAAGAAGATACATACAGAAATAAGCGGCATCAGTTGCAATCAATTATTTATCGGCTCATGTTGCATACGTGAACATTAAATGAAACGAAATAAACTATCCTACCTTCTTTCTGATGTGTGTGCTTAATGCACCAGTTACCTTGCACGAAGAATACATTTACCTGCATCGAGTAAAAATGCTCAGAAAACCCAAAAAGATGTACCCCACCACCCCAACCCTTGCTCTCAAAGGAGAAAAGACCGATATGAGACGAAGTTTTTTGTGCCTTGGGGAGCGCCCCCTTCCCTAATGTTGGGAAATCCCAGGATATAAATGAAAAATAAAATGCAAAGTGCCCCTTCTCTCCAGGAAGAGCTAACTACAACCACTCCAATAGGGTGCTGAAGAGAGAGAGAGATGTTTCCACAAGGCCCTCCACGGGACAGCCCTCCAACCCTATGCACTTCCAGTGCAATTCCAAGCAGTGATAAAAAAAAAAAACTGTATTTATCACAAACTAAACCGTTTTTATAAAGACCTTTTGAATGAAATAGGGTCAAGTTCATGTTGTAGTTACTGCAATTAAAATGTAAAACAATATTGTGTATACAAATAGCAGCGACCAGCCAACGACTGGTATTGAAACCATTGGAAGCATACAATATATTCCAAAAGGAAGGAACCTTATTCAGAGTCAGACCTTCAGGATCACCATGAAAGAAGCAAGTTCCGCCTGACAGACAACAGAACGCACGCACACAGGGCGTGACAAAACCAAGGAGCCAAGTCCAGAGCTGAAGAACCTATTTTTTTTCAAAATAAGAGGAATAGGGATACATACTCGGGGCAAGCAGGTTCCGTGTGTTTCTCCTTTTGTGTTGAAGGAAATTTTGAGGGGGTGGCACTCAACACTGCTACCTTCCTGGACACTGCACAGTCCCATGCCTACAACACCTGACAAGCCCTGGGGGTCGCTCACCTGAGCACGTGGTCGTATTATTGCCATTTGAGAGACTACGATTTAAACACGCTGTCGAACCGTGGCCTTATTACGTGGCCTTTGGAGGCAGGAGTTAGGCTGACATGGATTGTAAGAACTCCTCGACGATATGGCCCACAGGAGGAATGTTCCTGCTTGGAGTGGTCACATAATCACTGGGTTTGGCTGCGTTTTGCCAGACATTTATGTGTTTAGAGACTAGCACAAATAAACAACTGAATGTACGGCTGCTGCATTTTTACGTAAACCACAATGTTGAACAAATATGCTTTTAAAAAGCATTCATGTGTTAAGTACTTGTTAACCGTGAGAAAGTGGTCAGCCTATGCCATCAGAATGTGGAATTTCCACCACTTGCTCAGGGATGTATAAACACAAGATAACCAAATCCCAACACTAATTTTAACAGACACACATATCTCACTTCGATGAACAGGAAACCTGATGTCGCATAGCAACGAGGTGGCTGTGGGAGGCAGTACAGCAAGTGAGTTTAAGTGTTTCCTCCCAGCATGTGGACGTAGGTTTTCCCCAGACATTCAGACTTCCTCCCACATTGCAATAAAAAAGAACCACGAAAAATGTGAATAGAGATTGGAACCAAAAGCTGAACCCTCCTGAAGATAAACTCTCTTTGGAAACCACTTTGTCGGAAGGCAATATGCCCAAAATGGCCCATGCCATAGACATGTGGAATTTCCACTAATTATTTATGGCCGCCAATGGATATGAGTATCTATACTAGGTTGCATCAGTTAAGCAGTTTCAGCCTGGGTACGTACAAGCTGCATGGGTGACCGTCCTGCACAGACAAATTGTCATATGGGTGCATGCCTACGTGGTGGCAAGCAGAGGGTAGTGCGTAAAAGTATATTGCTGTACTGTACTATGCTCCCAAGTCTATCCCCCCCCCCCCCAACCTTTACCAAGCCCTACTGATCGGCGTGATGAAGTATGGAAAAAATAACCCCCATGCCCCGTATGGTGTGGGGAGGCCCTCATCCAGCAGTGGATTGGCAAAGGAGCTGTACTTATGCATATGTGTGCACATATATATGCGTGTGTGCCTTAACTCGTACCGCTAATAGCACTGTATGGCAAATTGGTTACACGGTACTGGGATATGTCTTTGTATTACCGAGTGATTCATTTACAGATACCCCACTAATATAATCGGGATACATTGGAGCAGAGACAATACTTTATTTAGAAGCATCTCAAACATCTCCCACCAATACCATTGCACTCGTTTCATCATAAGACATTCTCTGTAAGAAGTGGAGCCATCGCTGTCATAAAGTCCAACCGTCTGTTGAGAAGACACAAGAGGATCACTGGATATAAACGGGCTATCTATAAATGGTTCACCATGATTATAATGCGTAATGTGACGTTTCGGCCAATGGCCCTTCATAGCACGTAAAAAACGAGTAACGTGAAGAAGTGCCATTGCCCAAAACGTCGCCTATTATTGTCAAGTCAAATACATTTTTGCTTAAACACGTGGCGCCTTTCGGCCACAAAACTGCCACTCAAAGCGCCCATTCTGTTTTCTTTTTTCAAGGCAGCGCCACTGACGAATGAGTTGAGTTTGCTGTTATTAGTGCTTGTGCGCTACAGCCAACAACGCAGTGTCACCAAATCATCTGTATTCTATGATGTACGATGAAAATAAGGGGACATTCGGTCACCTAATGACAAAGGTGGGGACGGTGAGATGTTTTTCCAACCCGAGTCTACGTGGCACAACTTCCACGAACGCTGTGTCCCTGACACGGGAATGGCTGGATTAGAGGTCCCCTAATCGTATGCGAGGTGGTGATTAGGCAAACACCTCCTGGCGATGGCACAAACAAAGGAAGCGGTGGGCGCGATTTTTGCGGATGATTGAAAAGGGCCTGCGGGGAAAAGCGCACTGCCACAACAACGCACGCGCTGTTTGCTGTGTTGCTTGACTCTTGCCAGTACGATCTACCCTCGCGCGCTGTGTGTGAACATCGGGTTCACTGGGGAGACAAAGGCCACCGGGCGTGGTGCTGACCACACCACCCCCTCGTACGCCGTGACTTTCTGACTGCCACGCGTCCGTATACACGGCGGACACATCCCTGTATAGACTATGGAGATAGCTCTAAATGACCACTACTATTCCAGCAGTCCCTAAACTTGTGTTCGAATAAACGCCCATCCATTGCCGTAAATTCTACCTTGCCACCCCCTGGTCTTTTTTAATTGTTTTGTTTGAATTCTCGCACTCACCACCCCACACATCCTGGGCCATCACCTCCTCCAGTGCCCCCATCACCCAACTCCTCCTGCAGCTCCACGGCTCAGTGCCTTCCCCCCACCCTTCCACCCAACCTCACTCATCCCTCGCTTCTGCGAACAAACTCGCCCCCCGCAGAGACCCCCACAGAGCGCGGAGCTGCTGGGGCTGATTGGCCACGCGACTTGGGATGAAGGCGGAGCGAGGCTCTGCGACCCAAGCCTCGTCCCTTTGGCTCCTCTCGCATTGATTACATAAGGAGGATGGGCGCTGTGCGGTCCGCTAAACACTTCTGCCGCGCGATTCTGTGTTTAGTGAGTGCTTCTACATCTGTGTGTCGTGAGACTCCTCCGATTTGTCCAAGGCAATCCGTGTAAGTAGCATATTCAAGCGAATGTCATCGCAGTTCTTTCGTGTCATTGGTGGGATAAAGCGAGTTTATAGATATCAGAATTGTCATTAGTATTGATGACAAGAAGTGCATTTTTGGAAGCTTTTGGGCAAAAGCCAAGAATGCAAAACTAACTGTTACCGCTCAGCCTGGACTTGGGTTCTCGCGGGGATGCGCCCTCGTTGAGAGCCGCGCTTTCATGAACTGCGTCCATTCACAATTCCAACACGCGAAACAAAACTTTAAACCACGATTTCGCAGCCGTCGTCTTTCTGATTCAATTTCTCGAGAACCACAGGCTCGAAAATCTACACTGCACTATCGCTAGCGATGTTGCTGCTGCTGCTGCTACCGTTGCTGGAAATGAAGATGACGATGAAGACAACCATGAAGATGCTTCTGCTGCTCATCTGCGCTCCATCCACATCTCTCGCGCGGGACCCCGTGTGCCAGGAGATCACGGTACCCATGTGCAGAGGCATCGGCTACAACCACACGTACATGCCCAACGACTTTCGCCACGACTCGCAGGAGGAGGCCGGCCTCGAGGTGCACCAGTTCTGGCCGCTCGTCGAAATCCACTGCTCGCCGGACCTGCGCTTCTTCCTGTGCAGCATGTACACTCCGATCTGCCTGGAGGACTACAAGCAGCCGCTGCCCCCGTGCCGCTCGGTGTGCGAGAGGGCCCGCGCCGGCTGCGCGCCGCTCATGCGCCAGTACGGGTTCGCGTGGCCCGACCGCATGCGCTGCGACCGCCTGCCCGAGCAAGGCTCACCCGACAGCCTCTGCATGGACCACAACCGCAACGACGCGGGGCATCCCCCGGGGGCGCCTGCGGGCCAAGGCGACGGTGGCATCCCCTCCTCCGACGTGACCGAAAGGCAGGTGCCGCCCAGAGACGGGGGAAGGCAGCCAGGTGCGGCAGGAGGAGGAGGAGGTAGGGGCAGAGTGATCGGGGGCAGCGCGGAGTGCGAGCCGATCTGCGGCTGCAGGGCTCCCCTGGTGCGCATCTCGAGCCCTCGCCACGTCCTCTACGACCGCGTGCGCACGGGGCAGGTGCGCAATTGCGCGACGCCCTGCCACTCGCCGTTCCTCGGGCGGGAGCAGCGCACGTTCGCGTCCTTCTGGATCGGGCTGTGGTCGTCGCTGTGCTTCGTGGCCACGTTCGCCACCGTGAGCACGTTCCTCATTGACATGGAGCGCTTCAAGTACCCGGAGCGGCCCATCATCTTCCTGTCGCTGTGCTGCATGCTGGCGTCGCTCGGCTACATCGTGCGGATGGTGGCGGGCCACGAGGCGGTGGCGTGCAGCGCGGACTGGCACCACGTCCTCTACTGCGAGCTCCGGACCTGCGCTCTGCACTGCCGTCTTCCTGCTCACTTACTTCTTCGGAATGGCTGGCTGCGTGTGGTGGGTCATCCTGTCCCTCACCTGGTTCATGGCCGCGGGATTGAAGTGGGGCAGCGAGGCCATAGCCGGCTACTCGCAGTATTATCACCTGGCCGCCTGGCTCCTGCCAAGCATTAAAGCCATCGCCGCGCTGGCGATGAACGCCGTGGATGGGGACCCCGTGGCCGGGATCTGCTCCGTGGGCAACCAGAGCCTGGACAACCTCCGCGGCTTCGTGCTGGCTCCACTGGTCGCTTACCTGCTGATGGGCACGGCGTTCCTGCTGGCGGGGTTGGTGGCGCTCTTTCGGATCCGCAACGCCATCAAACAGCAGCAGCAGCAGATGCAGCAGGTGCAGCAGCTGACGCAACAGCAGCAGCTGATGCAGAGGTGCGTGCTGTGATGGTGATTAAGCAATAAAGGAAGGGTCGCTGTTGTGAGCATGGATGTTTAACCATATGGGTGTATTTTTTTAAATAGTATTACCGTTGATGTTTTGGGTTGAGATGATGCCAGTGGTAACTCTATCCTTTGATAATCACAGGGCCTTTCCCCCTTTTTCTGGCAACAAAACTGAAACCTTTTTACAAGGATTCATGTCTGCATTAACCACAATATTTGCAGTCAAAATTCAAACAAAAACAACACTGATAATATATGCATTGTCCTTGAAACTGATTGGTCCACACCAGAGACAGCTTTCTTTTGAGCCTCGTCTCAATTGGTGCAAGTATTGTGGTTAATGCAGACATGAATCCTTGTAAAAAGGTTTCAGTTTTGTTGCCAGAAAAATGGGAAAGGCCTTGTTATTGTATTTTGGTACTGGCAAAGGAGTTCTAATGATGATGATCTAACCTTTGAGTTTATGCTAAGTATGTATGTTGAACTTATAAGGCCATGCTAATATCAGCATGAGGATGCTGTGCGGGAGAGGTATATTGAAGATTAGGGTTCAAGCCGAAGTTAATGTTAGCTTATACTTTAGTGTTATGTTAGGGTTAGCGACGGAGCTAATATTCATGGAACTGCGAGTGTTAGTTTTAGTGACCAGTATAATATGATGGTTCTGACAAGGAGGGCTGTTAAATTTGCAGACAATCTATAGGCTTTGATCGAAATTAAGCTTACTCGCAAGGTCTGTATTTTGTCGAGTGCTAAGGTAACTGAGGTTAAGGCTAGATCAGATTTAATAGCTAGTATAAAACATTATGAAGACCTGTCTATGATTGAGGTGTCATTAGCACTGTGGGGAGCGGTGGTGTAGTGGTTAGCGCACTGCGTTACGAACCCGGCGTCTCGAGTTCCATTCCCGCTCACGGCCAACACCGGTGACGATTATCTGAACCGGTCCTGGCCTCCCCTAGGTCGACTCAGCCTCAAATAAGTACCTGGTGCGGTGTTTAAGCATCGCCGCTAGGGAGACCAAGGCGGCCGGGCGTGGTGCTAGCCACCCACCCTCTCGTGTGCCGTGTCGGCCTCCATAGTTGCTCGCTAACAGCACTTGCCCCAACAGCCTGTTACAGCTATACGAGGGATCTTTGTCTCGTTTGTTTTTATATTCGCACTGTGCTACAGTCTAACACGCAGCCTACCCCCCTTTCAGGACACCACTCTATACTATCTGGCAGCGTGGCTCTGTCATTAAAGGGCTCCATTCATGGAATGTTGCAGTTCAAACCTCAGGCATTGGCACATTTGTGCAATATCAACAATGGTTGTACTTTAGACCCGCCACAATTAAACTCTAGCTTAAGCAATTAACTGGATTGGATAGCAATACTATTTTAGTTAAAACAATTGTTCAGAATGAAGGATTATGGTTAACAAATGCTAAGTCTGGGGCCCTCTGTGGTCGGATACTGTGTGGCACTCAGCCCCGCGCCTCTGTTGCCGAGTGTACCGTCATTAGGCTATTCATTTCCACTGCTGACGTCAAGTAGGGGCACGAGAATGATTTTGAAGTTGGGGATGCAAGTATATAAGGGCGCCCATGCTAAGTAGCCCAAGGAGGGCCATGAAGGACATTGAGCGAGCTGAGTTGGGGGGTAGAGGTGGGGGTGAGTTAATCTGTCACTGCTGACCAAATGTTGCGACATCTCTCGTGTACACAACCCTGTAAACGCCAAAAACTGAAAAACAAACGAAACATTAAAAGGTTCCTCGCAAAGGGGTGGGATTATAGGTAGGGTTAGGGTCAACGGGAGGATTATTGCTAGTTTGTCAGGAATAGAGGCAGAGCCAGAAATTTGCAGGCTATTACGCTATGCCCCGACAACTCTTTCCTCCTCCCCATTGCGCCGGGTGGCATTTCAAGTTTTGAACCACTCTTCATTGCTCGTGTTCACGACACCGCGCTCATCCAATCACCGCCGCCCGTTTCTCATTGTGCAGCAGCGCGAATCCCGGAGGCGCCAAGACGGAGAAACTGGAGCGGCTCATGGTCCGCATCGGGGTATTCGCTGTGCTCTACACGGTGCCCGCGGCCGTGGCGGTTGTGTGCAACCTGTACGAGCAGCAGCACCGCGACAGCTGGGAGCGAACCCTGGTATGCGGTGGCGGTGTCGGCGGCGATGGTGGCTTCTCCGTGGATCCCAGTGCGTGTGGACCTGGGTCAGGTCACCTGCCCGAACCGGGTGCCCGGCCAGACTTTGCGGTGTTCATGCTCAAGTACTTTGTGTGCCTGGTGGGTGGCATCACGTCGGGTGCATGGATCTGGTCGGGCAAGACGGCCGGGTCATGGAAGAGGTTTTACAAGAGGTGCCGGGCTTGGCGCTCAGGGAAGAGGCACAGGTCCCCGATCGGAGCCGGAAGAGGGTCTGGATCGTACCCGAAGCAGCTGCCCTTTTCCCACGTGTAGGACACATGGGCCAGCCGATGGTGAGGGAGCCTCGACGTATTGGTCAATTAGAGGGATCTTCAAGAGGACACTTATAGGTGACCTCAATAATGATCAATACACTAATTGAAACAATGCTGGAGAATACCCATAGGAAGTTAGAAACACAGACACCCCAATATTCAGTCCAATTATTCATGCAAAATTGTAGGCAATGCTTCGTACTCTTAAGGGGACCAAATCGGAATAAGAGTCAAATAGTTTTTCTTCTCAAACAAACATTGGGTTATGCACGTCTCAATTCGTGACCCTGAGCCAACAGCGAACATTACACATTCCCATGTTTTTATATATAACTGCTTTTGATTTCCTATGAAGTGGTGTTTATTTTTTATTATCCTTTGAAGGATTAAGGGCTGATTTGGCTCTCCATAAACATAATTTAAACTCGTAATTTTCCATCGTTCAAGTACTGTGATAATGATGCAACTTCGCCGATTGTTACAATTACAAAGGAACCTCCATTATGAACCTGATAACCCAATACTATAGTCAATGTATACGGGATGTCACCACTGCTTTACTGCTGTAACACATTCGATATTCTCATCTACATTAATGGCCCTAAACCAGTGGTGGAAATTCCGCATTCTTATGGCAGAGGGAACCATATTTCATACCTGCAACTCCCTATTGATTTCATTCTACAGTGCTTATTTTGTGGCGATAATGGCACCTAGTATATGACTGTGGAATTTTTTACCACTGGCTTAAGACCTGCAACAAATACAGGTGCCATCTAACTCTCCAACATCCAAATCGTCAATTCATCAGATTCACACACGTCAATCCAAAAATGGAATCTACTTTGTGGGAAGCTGGTTGAAGTATGGAACATTTGCCCCTGTGACAAAAATGTGAGATTTACACTCGTGGCTTAGGGCCACCAGTGGTGATGCACACTGCCCTGCTTCTGTCTTGAGCAGGGATACAAATTGGACTGAAGTAATTATGTAGTGCTCACAGAATGCACAACAACATGGAAGCTCTCACTGGAAGAAATTAAGGACGGCAATCAACCGTTCAATCGTACCTGGCAATGCAAAGGCACCTCACATTTTTCAAGTATAATTGATTAATTCATGCCTCCGTGTTGTCCCTTATGTGAATACTGTATAGTGAATGAATGAAGTAGAGGGTACAGTTCATACGTTTGTTTTCTCATTCTCGCAGCAGTTGGTAATTATTAAATCTACTGTCAATGAAGAGAATAACTCTTGGATACCTTAAGTCACTTAAAGAGATTCTGATATTGTACAAACCTTAGGCTGCTGTGCATTCATTATTGTTGCTGTTGTTATATATGTATGCCAATTACCATTGAGAAGTATATGCTGTGTAAATAATGTACAGCTACTATGTATTTAGGAACACGTGTTTACATATGTATGATTGTTGATGCATTCCAGTGAAAATACACCAATTAATTTATATGCTATTTTACCAACGCTTCACTTGCTAAGTTGATACTTGTTGAAATATATATTTTTCAAATTGAATTCTATTTCTGTCTTGTGATTTTATTTAAAGCTTCCATGTTGTCTTATTGGTCCAGTCCGATAATGCATATAACTGAATGGAATTGTGGTGAAAGCAGCTACTTAACAATTTGTGAGGTTGAAAGTTTCCACCAATGGTTAATGGCCATCAACAGAGATAAGCAGTGGCTAAAACTAATTTTAGCAGAGGTACTTAGTTTATAAATTTGCGTGAAATGTGAGTGTTACCATCTCATATGTTAGGGTTTTCTCCAGTCTTCTTTCACATCCAAGAAGACCCAATAGGAATTAGCTAAATGAGTTTAAAGTAAAAAAAAAACATCATAATTAACATCAGACCTAACTGACAACATTATCTTCATAAGAGATTGGAGTTTATTTTATTTGATCTTCAAATAAAGATTTCTTTAATTTGTTACACAGTTGATCCAGTTTAGCCAGTTTCCCGGATATTTTACAAGGGAGATCCAAATTTCGATTTTAAGCTATCATGACTGCAGGGATTCATCTTCTTGGTTCTTTCGGTAAAGTCACGTAGAAAGGAAATAATAAAAGAATAAAAATAAAACATAATAAAATAAAATTCTCACGACGTTTCGGCCACAACACAAGCAGCCGTCCTCTTGTGTTGTGGCCGAAACGTCGTGAACATTTTATTTTATTATGTTTTATTTTTAGTATTGTATTATTTCCCTTCTACGTGACTTTACCGAAAGAACCAAGAAGAAGGGAGATCCATGTTGCGTGAGCACAACAACAAAGCAAAAACATGAATATTGCAGAGAATGAGTACAGGGTCCTTAAAAAATATTGCACAACTAACAATGAATTATAACCAATTATAATTGTTAAATAATCAACATGAGGAAATCTAATTGGCATGAATCATTCATTATTACCGTTGAGTATACCGTATTGTCATTAAAAAAACATCACCAAATAAAATCGTCATAATCAGTGAAAACCAGGCATTACAAATTCTACAGTGCTTTTAGATGCAATTTGCATAAACGGAGCTACAATAATTTAATTCCAATCATTATTCATCACAAAGCAAAATCATCTTCACGATCATGACCACACGTTTTTTGTGTGATATTGCGTTATCAATGGTGCACAAGCTCAAATAACAACAAACTCAACGCTTTCGTCATTAACACTGAGGCCTTAAAAGGAAAAACATAAAAATCTATGACGTTTTGGGCAATGGCCCCTTTTTCATGGCACATTGACATCAACCATTATCGATCACATAAATTATTAATATCATCACTATCAATTACCATCACAATAATTAATATCACAAATGGCATCCTCCTATTTGGCATCCATAAATCATTCGTCACCAAAGTCAGTCACTAATTACCATCTTTACCTCCATCATTGACATAATTATCATCAGAAACATCAACATCACCAAATATTATCATCACTATCACCACTATCACTACTACAATTAAACCGTAAGCCCCAATACAAAGGCATATTATGGGAAAGGCGGCGAGTCTCACAGGCAATCCGTGAGACTCGTCGTCTTTCGCGCTTTTGAGTATCTCACGACCGTGCAAAGAATTCTCGCTTTGTTGTTGTTGTTGACAAGCAGATAAAATACGCTCACTTCATATATCTTTCTCTCAAAGCAACACAAATTAAAGTATCATTTACACAACCCATCGGCCCCACGGCCCTCGGGGAGTTAACCTCAGCAAGCACTGATTCAATGCAAGAAAACTCCGTACTGGTTTCGACATTCGGCAAGGGTCAAGCAAACTTGAAATCAATGCTGGTGATCGGCGAGATTTTGTGTGGGCATGGAGCATCCCTTTAAGACGTGGGCGCTGGTTTAAGATGCGCCCACACAAAAGGAAGCGAGTTGCCCCGTATGGCTTTGTCGATGCCTGCCCGAGATGTCCATTCACAGCTGTGGCACATTCTGCCACGGGCATGATAAAAGGCATGGAAACTGGTTTGTCGAGTAAGGGGCCCTCTTTCACTTTAATCGCATTTGCTCGACTCTCAGCAGGACGCTCGCGCTGAGAATTAAAACTCGCTTAAACGCTTAATAAATCCAAATTGTACACTATTGTACCAAACCACTATTGTATAGGACCACTGTGTAAGCCGGCTCTATTTGAATGCCCTACATTACCAGATTTCAGGTTCGGAAAAGCCACGCACTTCTACTCTTCTTTAAGTCTTTTAAAGATGCACATATTCGTTGCTGATGCTCAACGTAAAGGCTGCGAGAATATTTTCTGGATGAGGTGGACTCAGCCCATCATGCTTCTAGTATATATATAAAACAAGTACAATTTTGTGGAAAGTCAACATTTGCTGTCCATTGTAAGACTGACTCCCACCACGTGAATGGAGAATTTCCATCGCTGGATCAAGGCCACCAACGTGCTCGATTGAGCACGGAGACACGAACACTTGATATATATTTATCAAAGTATTCCTCACGGAGTCGCGAGATTGTTTTTAAGGGGGTCCTGCTTATGATATATTTCGTCCATAATTCCTTACCGAGTACAAGTGGGCTGCCTGTCCATACGGGCGACTTTCCAAGCACACTCCTCAACCCCGCCACGCACTCTCACCACTCACTCGACACTCACCACTCACCCGACACTCACCCGACACTCACCAGGTCAGTCGACGTACTCACGTTGAGGTTCGTCATCACGCGCCTATCCGATGTCCGATTTTGAAACGGGGAGTTCGTCATGCAGCGGGCTATTTATTGAAAATAATAGAACGCGCCGGGATCGATGCACCGAATGATCTGGTTGCAAATACAGCTTCTGTCATAATTTCGACCTCTTTGCACAAATTGCATAAAATAATTCACACGTTATGCACTGGATTGGTGGAGGGATGCAGGATTAGTTCACCGTACAATCGACGGACGTACACAGATATAGCCACTCATTGTTACGAGATGGTCCAGATGCGTCTTGACCCCAATTTAATTATTTTTAACTTAATATTTTTTTAAGTAAGGTTTATTTATAACAGAAATGAATTTTCAAGGGGGGGGGTGTAGGCGGTCAATAAATTGGGGGGAGGGGGGTCACAAGACATCTGGACCACCCTGAAGAGGCAAGTGCCGTGGGGTCGACGAAATACGGAGACCTGGAGAGGGCTTTGACTCTCAGCATTCACACTGCCAGCTCCACGCAAGAGGCCAGCAGCAACACATCATTGGCTTTGCTTGCCGTCACCTTGAAGGCAAACGCGTTTCGAACGCACACAGATCTATATATCTATGTGTGATCCACCAACGCTGTTGCCAAAGCGATTGGATTTCATCCAACGCCTCTCCACCATCACCCACACCAAACAAAGGTCCCCCGTGTAACCTTCAACAGACTGTTGGGGCAAGTGCTGTTAGCGATTAGCGCCGGGGTGGCCTTAATAGGTGCCAGCACCACGCCCGGCCGCCTTTGTCTTCCCAGTACACACCGCACCAGCTTCCCATTTAAGGCTGAGGCGACGTAGGGGAGGCCTGCAAGACCGGTTCATATATTTTGTCGCCGGAATCCGACTCGGGTCGCCGGGATCGTAGCGCAGTGCGCTAACCACTGCGCCACTGTTCCCCGCATGCAGACGCTTGCGTGGTCGAGGAAACACGAACACCATCACCCACAAAGATAAAGATCCCCCGTGTAGCCTTAACAAGCTGTTGGGGCAAGTGCTGTTAGCGAGTAGCACCTATGAAGGCCGGCGCGGCGCACGTGGGAGTGGGTGGCCAGAACCCCGCCCGGCCGCCTTTGTCTCCCCAGTGGCGTTGTTTGTACACACCGCCGCACCAGGTGCTCATTTGAGGCAGAGTCGACCATCACCCACAGCCTCTTCCATCACCCACAACGCCCACATCACTCCTCTTCTCCGCCCGTCTTGCATGGACTTCAACTCAATCGGCCACCCTCGACTTCACCAACCACCCTTCAAACCATCTCCCCCCCCCCCCACCCACTCCCCTCCCCCTCCCGTCATCGTCTTACCCTTCCCCCTCCGCGTCCCTATTCATGATTTTGTCAACCAAATGTTTAAGGGCAGCACGGAGGGGGGGGGGGGGCAGGGGGTGTGCTGGGGGTTGGTGGGCAGCGCTAATGAGCTGCTAATGGACAGAGGCGCGTTCGCTCCCGCCTGCCATCACGTGCCCAGTTTTCCAACCCGGCAACATCCTACATTCCTCCAGCCAAATAAGCACTTCCAGGCTAATTGAGGCTCGCAGGGGTATGCGTGTGTTTACAGAGGGCTACCGGGGACCATCTGATAAAGCCCCGAGCTTTAAAAGCGTGGAAGAGTGGGGGGGGGGGGAAACTCACTCGGGGTCGAGCATCTCGATCCCGTCACCACAGAGCGAGAGGAAAATGCAGCACACCTGGCCTCGCCGTATGCCCGCACAGCAGTGTTATATGCGGATATCTACACATGCACATGTGTAGCATACGTATCATCATATGTGTGTACATGTACAGGCAAAGCAGCTTTGTCATGCCACTCGCTGGATGAGGGCCTCCAGCAGCAAGTGCCGGATTTAGGCATAAGCTAAGTAAGCTACAGATTAGGGGGAGCCTCTAAAACACGAAAGAATAATGATGGGAAGTTTCAAGTTTTACATAATAGGTTGAAAAATAAAGGAGATAGCGAAATAAGTATGCCTAAAACGGTTATTTTCATTCCTATATCACAAAAATACACAATCGTTCCTCGATTTACGAACCCTCAGCTTGACAAAGCTTAGGGCAGTGCTGCTTAACCTTTACTGCAGCCTTGCACCCGTATGGTTCTCAGTCGTAAAACAAAGTACAATGTTAATAAACACACAGGTTTGATGAAACAAAGTAGTTGTACTTACGTTCCCATGCTTAATTTGTCTTTCGATTATTTACCTTCTAATAAAAAAAATCTGGCCACGTCTCGAAACCCGCAGAAAGGGCATCTCGCAACCCAGGTGAAGAACTACTGACTTAGGGGCCCAGCAATGTCAT